TCTCTCTCTCTCTCTCTCTCTCTCTCTCTCTCTCTCTCTCTCTCTCTCAGCATCTTTCAAATTCTTTCAATTCACCTTCACCACCTACCTACCACTACTCCTAAGGCTTAGACAGGGAACCCCTGCAGGCGCATTTTGTTTTTTCCCCTTTCAGTTTTAGTGTTTGTTAATGAGCTATTTCTGTCTGTTTCGAGCACTTCATACGTGATCTTTGAAAGGATCTAGTAGGTATTTGGATAGGGACAAGATTGGGACACTTGTCCCAATGCGAATACTTACAGGAACATTGGAATAACATTCCAGTGTCCTGTAAGTGTTTGGATTGGGACACTTTTGGGAAAAATAATAATAATAAAAATATATAGAATATATATAGAATATATATCGTCACAAATTCTAACCATTCAGTGGTTGTTGCCAGGCTTCGACGTCACGGAACTCATCTCCGATGCAGAAGCTGATGTTGCTGTTCTCGAGGAACCGGAGCACTTGTGCTGGTAAGATGAGTCTTCCCCCCCCCCCCTTTTTTCCTTTTTTTTCTCTTTTGTTTTTCTTTTCTTTTTTTCTTTTCTTTTTTTCTTTTCTTTTCTTTTTCTTTTCTTTTTTTTCTTTTTTTTTCTTTTTTTTTTGGTTGCAAAGCACAATCCGTCAATGAAACCAATCTATTGCAGAGCATTTGGTTATGGCAAGACGAGCTCCTTCTTTTTTTTTCTTTTTTTTTATATTATTATTATTATTTTAACAGGTCCTTATGGTCCTGGCTCCATATCCAATCTGGGGAGCGTCAGTCCGGTTCTCTCTTGTTTTTATTGTTCTTTTTCTTTTCCCCACACAGGACAAAGCATTACTGACTTAACGAGTCCAGTCTATTGGTGAGAGAGCTTGCTACTGTCTTGTTGGGTCTCCTTCCTCCCTCCCTCGGCAAATGCACATGTTTACATCAAAAAACAAACAATCAAACAAAACAATAACGCACTCTCTTCCTCTTCTTGACTTCTTCTATTGTCTTTCCCCGAGCACAATGCCCCCCTGGTCAGAAAAATAGTTTGTATGCATTCATAATCAGGGTGCGTCCGGTTCAGGTGAATGTGGAAAGTCCTAAGATCTTCCTTCTCTGCCATTTTTGCAGGTATCACTTTGGTGAGAGATGGAGGAACAAATTCCGGGTGGTGGTAAGTCTATTTGACTCTGTTGTTTTATTTGTCCCCCTTTTTTTTTTTTTTTTTTTTTTTTTTTTTGGCGGTGGTGGTGGTGGTCAGACGTGCTTATACCTGGGGGAGATCAGAATGTGCTTATATACAGAGTTGCCAGGCCGAACGTACGGAGGCCCCTAAGCTGACCCCGAACGTTCGGGCGTTCGGGTCCCCGTACGGGGCCTGAACTCGAAGGGGTTCGGACCCCGCAAAAAATTATTTTGGTACCTAAAACTTATTATTGTTTTCTGATTTTTTTTTTGGTGAGTTCTGTAAGCTACCTGTCTCTCAATTTTGAAGTCATTCTGTGGAGCCAAACAATAATGAAAAATCGGCAAAGATGGTGGTGTCAAAACTTGCTTTCCCACTTACTAATTTGTTTTTTTTTCTCTTTTCACTTTTTGTTTTCCCTTTATTTCGGGGCCTGCAAAAGAATATTATTTTTTCAAACTTTATTTGTAGGTTCTCTATGATGTAAGATACATATGTATAAAATTTCATGGCATTTG